TTTTTGGCCGTGTGGGACAGGGGCGATCCTGCGAGCGCGGCCGTCGCATCTAGCAGTCGAAATATTGAATGACAACCCTGGCAAGCGTCATCGGCGCGAAACCATTTTCAAATATTCAATGCGTAGAAAGTAAAGTAGTAGATATAGTAGCGAAAACCCGATCAAAAAAAAACGTGAAATGTTAAAGAAAATTGGAAAGGCAGGGATAGCCGACTGGTTAAGAGGGTAGACTCATGTCTGCACCTCCGGAAAGCTACGAGTTCGATCCTTGCCGAGGCTCTAAACCATGCCTTGCAAAAGGAGGTGGGAAGAGTACTACAGTGCACTTCTGAACGAGGAGTTCCCCCACGAGAACAACACACGGGCAGAGGCCACAGCTGGTCTCATCGCACTCTGGACTGAGGATGAGGTTGGTTCGAGAAGTAGCAAAATGAAGGTTGGGAAGGCGGTTGGTCCAGATGGGGTGCCAATCGAGGCATGGAAGGCGCTGGTGAGTACGGGATAGATGGCTCACACGATTCCTCAACAACATAACTGCGGAAGGAAGGATGCCAGATGCCTGGAGAACAAGCACTATCGTCCCCATCTTCAAGCAGAAGGGTGACGCGATGGACTGCTCCAACTACCGCGGGATCAAGTTGACTGCTCATACAATGAAGCTGTACGAGCGACTGGTCGACTCGAAACTGCGGGAGCTGGTCCCGATCTCCCAGGAACAGTTCGGGTTCATGCCCGAAAGGTCTACAACGGATGCCATCTTCATCGCAAGGCAAGTGATGGAGAAGTATCGAGAAAAGCGCCGACCCTGCTACCTAGCCTTCCTCGACCTGGAGAAGGCGTTCGACCGGCTACCACGAGCGGTACTGTGGAGAGCGCTTAGAGAACGGAACGTGCCAGAACACCTGGTCTCGCTGGTGAAGGACATGTACGACGGGGCTAAGGCAGCCATACGCACCCCACATGGCCTAACAAAGAGGTAAACATCACGGTTGGGGTGCATCAAGGGTCAGCTCTGAGTCCGTTCCTCTTCCTCCTAACACTAGATGTCATGGTGAAGGGGCTCATGGAAGGACCACTAAAGACCATCCTCTACGCTGACGACATCGCCCTGATAGCGGATAGTAGAGAGGAACTACAGGCCAAGGTGCAGCAATGGCAGAAGGTCCTGGCAGAAGGCGGGCTACGGCTGAATGTCAAGAAGACCAAGTTCCTGAGTTCTGAGGAGAGGGTGCAGAGCCGATCGTGGATGGACATGGCGAAAGCATCGAAAGAGTGGAGGACTTCCGATACCTTGGGAGTGATCTGGCGGCCGACGGCAGTGTGGACCAGGCAGTAAAGGGGAGGATCAACGCGGCATGGATGAAATGGAGGGAGTCCACTGGAATCCTCTGCGATCGAAGGTGCTCCAGAACGCTCAAAGGGAAGGTGTACCGGACAGTGGTAAGGCCTGCGATGCTATACGGCAGCGAGTGCTGGCCCCTGAACAAGAATCACGAAAGGCAGCTTCACTCTGCCGAAATGAGGATGCTGAGATGGGCCTGCGGCTGGACGCGACTGGACAGGGTCAGAAACGAGGATGTCAGAGCGGTCATGCTAAGAAGACCACAAGGCCACCCGATAAGGAAAGCAATGGACTTCGAAGTGCAAGGCAAGCGACCGCGAGGAGCCCCAAAGAAGAGGTGGAAGGACGTAATCAAGAAGGACCTAAGTGAAATCATGGCCACAGCAGAAGATGCCCTGGACAGAGCGAAGTGGCGACGACTGACAAAGACAGCGGACCCTGCGACTGCGCGGGACTAACGCTAGGGAGAAGAAGAAGAAGAAGAAGAAGTTAAAGAAAATTGGAATTCAAGTCCTTTTCTCTGTAGTGGATGCCAAAACTATTTTCGATGTGGATGTGTCAAGTGAAACATATATCTTTCTATCCCTTTAGTTTGTATTTACTTTCACTACCCTTTCTCACTGATGTTCATGAGAATAGGAAGAAAACGAGGAATGAACCGAGCTGCCAATTCCGCTGTGCTTAAAAACTTCTGCTAAACTGGAGCATATTTGATCATACCGTGACCCATGTCGTTTACAGTTATGTTATGTTGTAATCCATAGAATAGAGACAAGCAAATTGGGAAGAATCTCCGCATACGCTAGAAGAAGGGATGACAAGTGAATGTCGACAATGTGTTAAAGATGCGCACTGCTTGTCCGCACCCTCCTAGCGAAATAGTGGTGAAATCAATGCAAAATAAGAAATCCGTGAGTCTGGGAGGGCAGAAAGAGCTTGGGAATGGTGGTGGGGGAGGGGAGGGGAGGGCGATTCGATTGGCATGCGTGGAAGGCTGGAATGTGCATGTTCACACTAACGTCCAAATCAGCTGCTCCGCGTATGCGTCAGATGAAAAAGCTAAAGGTTCGAAAGGAGCAGAAGGTGTTGAGGATGTTATGCAACTATGTCTAGACAACCAAGACTTTCTGCGTCAGCTCAAAAAACAAAAGGCTTAGTGCTGCAGAAGATGTAGAAAATTCTTTTTTATCGACAAGTTCAATAAAAACAGAATCATGCACTCGTCTGCATTCTTATTATTGTTGCATCTTACTGTTGTTTGCATAGATGCTTTTTTTGCTTTTAATAATAATAAATAGATTGAACTAAACTGAAATTGTAGTGAGAACCTTGGCTTAATCAACATCTAACCCCTCCATGGACAATGCCGTTTATAATTCGGAACTTGAACAGGTCTGGACCTGTGCGGAAAAAATGAGTACCAGGATGATGACGCGCATGCGCGTCGAGGAGCAATCCGATCTCAAATGTATGGCGTTCATGCGCCAGCCATCGTAAATGTGTCAAAATTTGGTTTACCAGCAACAATCAATGGTTGGCCGCTTCATTGTCGAATCTAGACCCGAATTTTTTTTACAGTGAAGTCATTGGAAAACTGACTCCATTCGCAATCAGTCGAACAAGAACGAGCACATCATTGAATAATTTTTCGACATTTTTAAAGACAAAAGTTTTTTTGGAGCAGTGTTGCTATTTTCATTAGCTGACCTCCTTAGGTAAACCAGATCATAAAACAAACATAAAAAATATAAACCATAACAAAAGGAAAAGCGATGCGTGAAAGTGGATGAAGCAGAGAAAGCGCTTTCGAATGACGAAAAGAAGGCGCGGGCATATAAATCTGAAAGTAAAAAAAATGGGGAAGAAAAACAGGGAAAAACACTGCTTTGAACACATTCACGACGACGCCCCTTTTCCACTTTTCGGTCGCGTGGGACGGACGCGATTTTGTGGGCGCCGCCGCCTCACCACATAACCGCAGATTTTGTTTTGTAAATGAACAAAAACATGAATGTCACAAAATAATTTCTGCAATGTCCAATGCGTAAAGATTATCTAAACATATAACAGTAGGATTTCGATCAGAACGACAAATAGTGGTTACGAAAAGAGAGCATTTATTCACTTTCCCCGTGAAGGAATTTAAAAGCATTTTACACTTACGAGGTTTGCCCACCTATCTGTCCATTCCTAGCGCCTGGCAAGCGATTATCAGTTGGCAGCCCATGCTGCCATCGTCCCAGGAGCGCATGTTGTTGGCAGCCCATATGGGCGGCCATCGGCGTGAATGTGTTAAGAAAGCACAATGAAGCGGTAATAGGTAATGGCTAAGTGAGGGGTATATTACCTTTCTTTCTTTCGAAGGTACACAGAGTTGGAGGTGTTCGCCGGTTCGGCTACTTCTCCTCAGTTGTGCCTTTTAGCAAGGTCAAGGAAGCCCCAGCGTTGGCACTTTCTTCGAAAGTTTTACGATCCCTTTTTTTAGAGGTCTCAGTATGACCCTTCCCTCCGGGAGACCTGTGTACATTCGAACCTTTGATGCCTCAAAAGCTGATTTGTTGCGTAACGTCGTCAATTTCTCGAATAACTAACACAACATCGAGCTCAGAGGAAGAAGTGAGGGACGTGGACCAACTGAATTTGAAATGGGTATTCCTTCCTTCAAATTTGAGTATTTTCCGAAACTTGAAGGGATTTGAAGTTTTTTCAGCAAATCTGTCTATGGTGAAGGGTGTATAACGATCCACGTACAGAGTAAAAGCATAACTTCGGGAGAATTTGACCTTGTATTCTTCAACACGCATACTTCCTTATAAGTCGAGTATTTGCGACGGAGTAGTAAAATCAGGAAAATTCAGACCAATCTCTCTTCAAAGACTCTTAACATTTTCCCGAAAGCTCATTCGTTAAGAAAAATAGCACGTTGGTACGTCGTCGTGCACACGCGAATTTTTAGCCCTCAATAGACACAACTTCCTTTAAACTCGTCGTTTGAAAAGTGGAAGCAAGCTTGCTGAACTTGAGGATCCAAGCCTTCTAAATGCGAAGAACCTTATTCAAAAGTTGAAAGGTTCAAGATTCATACCCGTTGGGACTTTTTTGTGGCGATGACGCACTTTGCAGGTCATTTTAGCAAACGCAAGTTTTAGGTTCTAATGTTCGAAATCAAACAAATGTGTTTCGTAATATTTGTACAAATGTGAGTGCCTTAGAAAACGAAGAGCATGCGCTTTTGAGAATTCACTCAAGTGACCGGAATGCTTCCCTCCAGAAATATTCCTTTTGTAGAAATTATTTATTCTTTTTTTCGGGAAGACAATCCTCTATACTGACTGTACAACAAATTACTTCAAGATGAAAACGTTCACTTTCCGTAGATAGTGCTCCTAGGCAATTCCTGAAGTACAACCTTCAAACACTCGCGCTGATTTGACATCACGGGCACATGAAACAAGGTCATAGCTATTTTCCAGGGTTCATCTAGATCCTTTTGGAACCCTTAAGTACCCGCAAGAAGGGTTGCTACACATAGAAAACTTGTTTTTCTCTGATCTGCTCAAAAGTGAAACATTGTCTCTGCTTTTTGACGACACAACTCATAACGATACTGATTATTGAAAAAAAAAACGCTGCCAAAAATAAAAAAAATCTTACCAATTTAGATACAACGCCTAACATCAACGGTCCACTGATATTTCCCAGCATACCAAAGACCATTGAGATCGAAGTGGTTGTCCCCGTGAAAGGTGGTGCTATGCAAAGAATGCATGTAAAGAAACCACAAATACCCGCAGAGAAGAATGCGCCTGAAAAATGAAGTGGTGATGAGAAAATGATACAAAATTTCGAATAATTTCCTCTAGCACCTACCATACAAGGCTAGCAACGGTAGCGCAATATAAGGATGTTCACAATCCGGCAGAGTAGCCAATGCGATGAGCATTGTAGCTGAGCCGAACGAACCTAAAGACACGGCGCTCTCACAAGGTACGGTAAAAGTAATAGTAGTGAGAAGCAAAAATACTTCCGCTATAAAATCTCTTACACACCGATACTTTGGAAGATTTTTGCACATTTGGTATGGCCGAGAATATTATTTCGTTTGAGGTAGTCGGCTGCAATTCCAAGAATATTTTTCGATATCAACTGAGAGATGAAAGGGATCATCGAATAGTATCCGTTCTGAAATCGCCAAACTAATTTCCAAAGGCAATTTGTGCAGGACGTGTGGATGAGGCGAGCAGAATGAGACGCTTGAGATCGTACGACATCCTATTTCAACATTTTTATACCACAAAATGTGGGCGCCCCACTAGGGGGATGGCCAACCAGCATGAGAGAGATGATACCATGTGGTCCCTAAAGGCACACTCCGCGATTGCATAAATGTGGATATTGCGCTCCTAAATGAATGTTGTTGTGGTAATTTGTCCATCAGTGATGAAACATATGATAAGGACCGTTAAAGACACATTGTGCGTCGAATATGAGTGGGGTTTGCGCCCCGCCCCTGCGGAAACCCTACTGATTACCCTTTGCTCGTGGATTAGTAGGAACAAGAAAAGTACACTGAAGAGATAGACCCAACGAGTGGGACTTAAGGGCTGCGCAGAGACAGCTGCTAAGCTCAGCAGGAAGTGTAATTTAGAATTACCTGACAGACTCTTGTTCTGTTTCACAAGTCATGGACCAGATACCACAATTACATTCATTTTAAGGTCTATTCAACCACGGAATGTGACTTCAAAAGTTAATCGTTGCGATGGGCTGCACCCTGAACTACAAGTTTCGTAGAAACTACAATTCATTCGACAAATGAATGGGTATAATCACACTGCTTGAGTTCATTGTCTCGGAAAGTCATCTTGTTATGGATCGGAGCTGTTGCTATTACGCTTTGTCAAGCAGGACCTGGATCTGCCCCGGATCGGTGCATTGAACTTACCGGTTCTACAGTAAGTTCAGAATGCTCAAAAGATAGAGCATGCTTGCATACTGTGCAAATTCTCCAATTACTGGATCTGCCCCGGATCGGTGCATTGAACTTACCGGTTCTACAGTAAGCTTATTAGCATTCTGAACAAAAGATAGAGCATGCTTGCATACTGTGCAAATTCTCCAATGTTAAAAAGGCTAATACAGCATAGTGGAAATTGGTGTGACACCAAAACTCTGTTCTGTAGATAAAAGTATTCCATGGTGGATTTGAAGATCGGCGGTGGGAGTGCCTTATTACGGTGAAAATGAAATATCAAATTGAGACACACTTACACGATTCAGTGGAAGCATCAGCTCCTCTTTAATGAAGCTGGGCAAAAACGCTTGTAATAAGGAGGCCTGAAGATTGTAAGTATACTGACAAAGCACAGCAGCAATCAGCGGTATAGAAGTGAGCATTGCTCTCCATGGAACCGGTCCAATTGTCTAAATAAAAGAACAATTAACTAATGCTCGGCAAGCTATTGCGCAATCACGTGCCAATCGCTTTCGGCAGAGCGAGCGATCGCGTCGCTCCATCGCTTGTCCGTCGCCGAGTGTGACGGCGGTCTTAGTGTTAACTTAGCCTAACTTTACATTATTACCAGCTTCCTGCGCAGCTGACACGCGCGTCATATAAACGGGAAAGCAGTACTGGGAAAACTTGTGAGAGTTGAGAGTGTTACACTCTACCACAGTGGAGAAGACACCCAGCGGAACGGCGTGGCCATAGCGGTAGCGGAGTCGCTCAAGGCTGTGAACAGGATCAGCGATCGGATCATGGCTGTGAGGATAGACACGAAGGAGGGGTACTGGACCATACTCTCCGTGTACGCACCGCAAGCCGGATGCCCCGAGAAGTGAGAAGGACGAGTTCTATCTGAGCCTTGACGATGCCATCAGATCGATTCCGGAAGGTGATTACCTGACCATAGCAGGTGATCTGAATGGCCACGTCGGCAGTGACAGAAGAGGCCTGGAAAGGGTGCACGGAGGTAGAGGGATAGGAACGAGGAACGCTGAGAGAGGGTTCTGGACCTGGCTACGCCCACGATCTGGCAATCTGCAGCACGTTCTTCGCGAAAAGGGAGACTCAGAAGGTAACCTACAGCAGTGGAGGGAGACAGACGGAAATCGACCATGTGCTGGTAAGAAGATCATCCCTCAGAAACTGTGAAGGACATCAAGGTTCTCCCCGGCAGACAACTGGCTACCCATATAAGAACCGAGCGACGAATCCAATGGTGGAAGCTGCACCAAGCGGAGAAGGATGACCTCAAACGAAAGATAATGGAAGTCGGTCTCCCAGATCCTAACGGGCCAGTACAGCGGACTTGGGGCAGCGCGGCTGAGACCATCCTGCGATGCCAAGGAGGTCCTGGGCGAGACGCGAGGTGGATTCAGAGGAGACAAGGCAGCGTGGTTCTGGAACGAGGAGGTCCAGCGAGTCGTGAAGCAGAAGAAGGAAGCATACAAGCGCTGGCAGAAGACCCGGAGCCCCGAGGACCTCGCTGCCTACAAGAGTTGCAAGAGGCTCGCTAAGGCTGCCGTCGCCAAGGCGAAGAACACGGAGAATGGACGCCTTGTACGAGAAGTTGGAGAGCAGAAATGCAGAAAAGTTCGCCTCAAGGCAGGGCGGCGGCAGCGCACATGTCACATTCGCTTCAAAGTGGACCATGATGTAGCTGGGTGATTTTGCAGTTGTCATCAGTATTTCACAAAAGACAACCTTTCTCACCTCGGCGCGACTGTGATGAATCTGCTCAGCAAGATACGCTTTCTCTTCTTCTGAGATGCATTTGTGAGTTGTCGGCGAATTCGTTACGTACAAGTAAAACACAATTAGCCAGGCACAGCCCAGCGCACCAAATAAGTAGAATATCAAAGGCCAACCAGGGCTCAGAGTACACAGATATGCTGATATCAATGATGAGAGAGAGGCTGCTATCTGAAAAGCACATTTGAGGGAGCTTGAGAGTTCAAGATGTTGAAGCTAGAAGGTGAAACGAAATAATACCTGATTTCCAGATGTGTACAAAGCCGCTACTGTCGATTTCTCTGCAGGCGCAAACCATTTACCAACTATGGTCGAAAGACACGGGAAATAGAAACCCTGAAGTATCTTCAAATAAACATTATGTGTTGGGCTTCTTTGCTCATATAATGGGGTCATTTAAATGATCTCGTGGTCTAAACAACAACAATCTAGGATTAGTTGAGAAGGTGTGGTTAGGAAGCACACGTTGTGGCTGGGCGGAGAATGCTTCAAATGATGCGCGGCACCAAAGGAAGATATGTTCGCAGTCCAGCTCGCGCTCGTTTACCACTGAGCGCTCTGATATGCTCAATGAGATCTCACGGAATGCCATTCTCATTTTTTGCCTTCATTAATCTTGGAAAATTGTAATATTAGAACACAAAATCCAGCAGAGTCAGCAACTTTTTCAGCACACATTGCGTTCAAACTGGTCACCCACATCGACCATCGCAACTACATTCTACTCTAAATAATAAGTCAAAAAGCTTGTCCAAATCGGGACGTTCAATATTCTTGCAATCCTTTTCTGCCTGCAATGAAGTGCCGATCAGCAGCACAAGACACCATCAACAAGAGCAGGGTCAACCGTTACGTTGGACCGATATTGGAGCGACGTTGGACCGATGTTCACCGCTCTCCGCGCCGGCATTCACTCTCGCCACCCGCGAGCCGTCTGTGTCTCCGTGCGTACGTTCACTCTCGGCATTACTCTCGTCGTCGCGTTGGACTTTGTCCAACGGACGGTTGACCCTGAACAAGAGTCGCCCGCATCCTTTGGAGACTATCTTATGAATATGTTTTCAATCCTATAGAGCACCAAAGGAAGTAACCACTCGAATGTGAAATTCGCGCCGTAAAATAACCTGCATTGAACGTTCATCAATACTACTATTTACTTTGAAATAGCAACTATAGCTAAGGAAGGTTTACACCATAAGGTCGGAGCTCGAAGAAGAGGACCTACTACCGTGTGGAAATACAGACGGACCCCCTAGGATGGCGGACCGACACCCAATTTGGAGAGAACTATTAGGTTGGAAAGAAAGTTCTGCAACACTCTTTCTAAAATTTTCTTTTTTTTGAAAAATTCATAGGTAACATTTATGACTAACAAATGGTAGAGCATTCTCGAGGCTTTAATCCACGAGGTGGATATAAGTGCTGCAGTCAGTAGTTATCCAAGAAAATTCAAAAAACCTCGACCACTAGTAAATCCACACTCCGAGTCACTGTCTAGTACAAATGTCTCCATAACTATGGATTCGTGTCAACGACCAACACTATCTGCAATAGCTTCAATAGGCATGTCGTTCACCGCTACAGCGTGTTTCACCTTTACCAGCGCTTTCGATCTTTTGATATTTTTATAAGAAGCCAGCAGCGTCCCACACACTCCATTACAGGTAGGGCTCTTACGGAAGCTCCACTACAAATTCTTCGTTATGGGCACCATTGTGTAGGTAGAGGTCTAGGCTGCGGAACTCCAGAAGCTGGCCGAGGCAGCTCGTCAGAGCCCTCGTACCGCGACAATATTTATTTCTTTCATGACATTGCGAATCACCATGATCCGAAATGAGCCCGGTAAGAAATTCTGGAGCTGCGGCAAGATTTCTTACCTCTCTTAGCGTATTCCCCTGGTCGAGCTATAAATGACTGCCACCTATCCTGGACCTTAAATCATCATCTTGATGACGAAATAATTAGACGATCAACTCCAACTCGAAAGTGAGGTCGCCTCCTTTCTCGACCCGCACTCCGCTGGGTTTTGGCAAAGGAGCATCAAGAAATTTTCTGAGCGTTGAAGACAAGTGGTGGACACTCATGGTAGATATAAGACCGGTCAGGAGTTGTAAACAAAAAAGATAAAATTAAAATCAAAAATTTGAAAAAGTGTTGCAGGACTTTCTTTCCAACCTAATATATGCCCCCGACGGTCTAGCTAGGCCGCCCCGCGCCGCTATCGCCACGCCTACCATCACCGCCTGAAGCCAGTTCAGCAGAGAGAGCGACGGCGTTGAAATGGGCAACAGCACCAATGAAGATAAGTAGGCAAAGGTCCCATTCTTGAGGTTCCAGGCCATTTTTCATATTTGTTTCATATTGGGACAAGGTGCAGAAACGACAATTGTGGCTGAGAGAATTTCGAAAGCCTGACCTCGCCTAGTCCCATTACCACTCTGGAGACGAAATATGCATAATAAGACCACCGAGAAAGTAGAGGAGTGAGGAGAGTAACAACAATGTAGTCCAATGTAACAACTGCAAAAAATTTATGGAAACAAAAAAAAAACTTAAAGGCAAGAAGAGGTGGTTCACCTAGACTGATACAAAATGGCCATACCTATAAGTATAAGCTTCGGACCGTATTTGTCAGCCAGAACACCAGCAAACGAAATTGTCATTAGGCCACCATAAAAGGTGGCGGACAGCAGAACAGATTGCATAGGTGGACTCCATAATAAGTCACCCTAAATGAGTTTAGTGAATCGTAATGAAGAACTCAAAAAAACTTCAAAATAATGATCAAAGGGAAAAATTGCACCACTTCACCAGCAAGGTAACAACACGACGGGACTCAAAAGCTTATCCCACCGCACATACATATCTGTGGGTTCTTTCCTTCAGAAATCAACGTATAAGACTGGGAGGAATGTTCCTTCACAAAGTTTTTTTTTTAAATTTGTTTCCAACTTATTTCAAATACATCAAATATCGACAGCATACCAGAGAGACGATGACCTTCTCCCACCTTTTGGGCATATCACCTCTTGCCCAAAAGTCCAAGACTGTGAGTCAAAGAACTCACTATTTGCCACTTCGGTTCACCAAGCGTTTCGAAATCTCTTCCTCGTAGATGGTTTTTTGGCGATCGGGAAAACTGAGGACCAGAAGGTGGACGATTTGGAGAACGGGTAGAACGATCGGCTGGCTGAGCTCTCTGATTTTCCACGAGTCTCCGAAACGATATGTGGATGCGCATTTCATGCTTTCAAATTGCACGGCCAGTTGCTACGTGCACAACACATGTAACGGTCTCCCTCTTCCAGTACCACATAGTAGATGAGTCCTTTCATAAACCAGCAAACTGAGCAAAGGTTTTTGCGTGTGTGAGTCTGGAGTTGGCTGGATTAGTTTTGGCGCGGCTTGGCACCACATGAGAGACGGTCCATGTCACTGTGTATTCGTAAAGTCGTCAGATATCATCACAGGCCACAAGAGAAAGTTTACTTCCATTGTTGAAAAAGCAAGGATATAAGCATGTTAAGCAGCTTCTGTTCTGAGTTGTGCGTCAAGCATGGGAAATCCACGTGACAATACCTTTCGCTGACCGTGGCAATGGGAACGGTCTCCGACGGTACTGTGGTAATACCCAATTATCGCCCTATACGCGTAGCAACTTCGAAATTCGCTTTGATAGCTCGACTTCAACATCAGCGTGGCGGAAGCAACTGTTGACTTTAAGAGAATAGTTGTCCCTTACAAATGGATTATTATATGGGACTATTGCGCATCTCAGACGTGCATCGCTTCCTTCCCTTGCTGCCACGCGTAGAGTATGGTAGTACGAAGCTGATGTTGTCCAATCATTGTTGATAAAGTTACACAGGCGCACGCTCGTCTCCATATAGAACTCACGAACTGATTGCCTTAAGATTGTTCTAACAGGGCACGCCAACTTGCTACTGCCTCAGCTTTGTCCATAGACAGTTGTCTACACATCAAACATCGTGTCGAAAACGTTCCTTGCCAGTGCCGATAGCTGCGCCCATCAGCGATAAAAGAAAGGAAATAGTAGGCTAAATTCTTTCCAATGGGTGGCGCGTCGATCACCTGGGCGAGGTTTGCGCTCCACCATCGGATGGCTACATCATTTCGCTGTACTTTATCGTATCCTACTATATCAAAGCGGACAAAATTTCCATTTAGAATCTCGTAGGGACTGTGTGAAAACCTGCCCATGCGAAAAACGCGCAACGTGATTTGAGCAGTCCCTAGCGGTTTTTTCTCTTTTAGGGATCAACTACCACGATTGTACCCATTTTCTAGAGCAACCACCCACACCTATCCAATGAAATGAACTATTGGGAGTACGCTTCTTAAACATAAAGGCCACAGCCTCAAAAACGCTGCGCTGATTTTTCTTAATGACCAGGAAGTTTTGATACGAGGAATAGTAGGTTTGAAAAATATTCTACAACTTCCGCACTCTGTGACTATACTAAAATATTCAGAATAAGCTGCACTTTTAGGACGATAAAACTTAAATTTTTCGTACCGTATACCCAGCTTGAATTGCTGTCTGTTGATCATCGTTTAATGGCTGACACCTTGGAGAAGCTACGGTGGCGTTTAGAATGGAATCGCTTTCTGACCGATGTCATCGGCAAAAGCTGTGTGAATTGACGCATAACAACGATTAGCCATATCAAGCGAGCTCATCGATACTGTTACAAAAAGACCTGAAAACACAAGTTTGACCCCAAGCACATCAAATTTGTATAAAGTAATTGTATGTAATTTGCATTATTATTATTATTATTATTATTATTACATTTCGCTTCGCTTTGAATATTGTATGAGGAATTTATGGGTGCTTCTAGTTTTCAAACTAAATGTCTATTGCTAGTTATTGGCTTGCAAAAGAAGAAATTTGTTTTCCAATTTCTGACAAAGACCTGTTCAAGTTGGAGTACGATTGCGCGGAAAGCAGACAGCCGGACTGAGAGGCTGAATGATTTCTTTGAGCGCCACAGCATTTTACTATTTAGGTTGTCCCATAATTAGTGAATCACTTTGGGTATTTTTGAATTCGAATTTTTTTCTTTTTCATATGGAGTCTCTGCTCATCCAAACATACATCCCTGTCATCTACAATGTATTGCCTATACAGGGAAATTTTGTCGCTGTCTTATCTCTAGAAATCCAGGAGCTATTGATCGAAGAAAGATCGGAAGTCGAGTTTGAGGTCATGTCACTTAGCGTAAAATTCCTCCCTGGGGAAGAGCGCTAGAGGTCAAACTGAGTTGCCTCTTGTTGGCACGAGGATAGGGCCACACAGAGGAAGTGGAAGATCGGCTAGCTTGAGAGTCTCTAATTTTTTATGAATATTCTCCGCAAGGTGGGTCGAACGACCTCAGGAAAAAAGCAGACTTTGTCTTGCTTTACTTTCAAATTGAATGCGCCGCCATTACGCTGTAGATGTTGATCTTCTTCAGTGACTCTAGTATTACTAGGCGGCGGTTCCCAGCGCATGGTCACTCTCGTGCTCCACCAATATCTCTGAAGGGTCGGACTAGAATGAGGTTTGGCTTTTGCTATCAGAACTCCCGAATCGTTCACGCTGGGCTACTGCTCCTCGGAGATTTGCTAGTACACTTCACGCAGTCCAGAACCCTGGTGAATAAGCTGGATGATCACTGTAAGGAACTAAGGGAGATCAGAAGGAACATGACGATGTCAGATCGTGTGCGGAGCTGTTTCGAGCTCAAAGCACACGAGATACAAATTAAATATTTTAAAATCGTTACAACTCTACGTAGATGTCTACATTCCATTATTTTAACAAGTCGGGCATGCTCTAGCAAAAGGCGGCTAGTTCGTCCATATTCACGCTTAGTGGCGCTGGGTATAGCACTGAGATTGCCAGTTGAGGGGTAGTTGGAGTGTGGGTCATCTTCAACTAAAAAAGCCAACCTCTCGATAGAGTGAACTATAAGCAGACCGTGGAGTGAGGGAGCGTGCCCTTGCCTATCTGCTGGTCGATTCTCTATATTGTTGGGCGTTTGAAAGATCTTAATCAGAAGTGATTAAGAAGGGAGCTCAAAAATAGGTTCCAGAAAAATTGAAATGTCAGCCACGGAAGGCAGCATGGAAATGGGCTGAGTAATTGCTCAAGTAGGACAATGTGGATGCTACTTCGCAAAACATGTTTCACGCCTTCACCAATTTTCTTGGATTTTTAATAACGATAAATGTAAAGTGATTCACTAATCTAATTTATGGGACAACCTAATAATACATTGAAACCATTATGACAAGAGCGATTAGAAAGAGCGAGAAACCACCCTTAACTAACCAAATCAAGCAGAATGAGAACGGACTAGCAACACCCGATGTGTGAGGAGTTATTAAAAAGAGAAATGACCAAAAGACGACCTGGGCTCGAACTAGAGTATCGGACACAGAATCAAACTTCCCGAAAATTTGTTCAGATGACACCGAAAATCAAGCGCTGAACGGATCTTATCACATATCGAACGGGCAATTTCCCATCATTCAAGCAAAACAAGATCGGAAGGAAAAATATAAGAAGTTGCGGGATTTTTTTTTCGGAGAGTGGGGCGGTCTTAGGATGTCCTGTGGCATCACAAATGAAAGTTCACCGTTTTGCACTAAAATTTCCGAAATCACTTGTGACATTTTCTAACAGTTCCTAATAACATCCTCAAATGAAAAGTACCCACAAGTATTTTATTGCCTGGAAATTTTATGATTTGAGCTGGATCAGTGCTTTAGGCGCGGTTCCACAGGTTTTTATGGATTAAAGCGCGGAAATCAATGGAAAGTCTAATCAAGAAGGGATTTTTTCTCCGAGAAAGTGTTGCTCCTGAAGCAGAATCCACAAATGCTATTCATGCTGACCAGGAGTGCACTTGGCGCTCCATGGGCCAATACAGCGAACCACTTCTTTGATACCAGCGTCGGATATTTTCTGATGATGCATTCGTGGTCTGTTTACAATCTAAATTCGGATCCACTCAAATTCTCTATGGGGGATTCCATAAGAGGTACTAATAAGAAGGAATCGAAATGCAAAAAGTTTTGCGATTGAAGAACTACCTAAAATTTGGATGAAATATGTGTAGAACACCTCCGCCGCACCATCGACTCGCTGAAGAAACAAATTGAGGCCTGTATCAAAACTGATGCAGCTACTCCAAATCTTTTTTGCAGTTATAAAAATGTCAAGTTTGATGTTTTAAAATTGAATTGCTTTCAAATTTTTGTGTGCAAAAAATAAAGTTGGGACGTGTTTTGTGGCGCACGTAATTTTTCGTCACCCTGTATTTTGACCATGACCATCAATATGGTGAAAGGTTATAACAAACAACGATCTCCTTATAGCAAACCCATGCGCATTGATACAAAATGGAAGTCCCTGGATGTTGTCGAGTAAGTCCAAGGCTTTCAGGATCGAATGTTCAATTAATCAATGTCCCCTTGTGCTAATAGCAACCAGTTACCTTTGGCACACCCAACACAGAGCATTCCACAGGACTTGAGTTCGTAGAACTATGATGCTACTTGACCAAGATGAACAATTTCACAATATTCTGTTGACACCAAATTTAGGCAATCCTCGCGTTGTGGATGGGCGCAAAAACTTGCTTTAGAGCTTTGT